TGTCGTGGTGGCCGGCCGGCGTCCCCCGAGAAGGGCATGCCCGAGGGCGGGGCCCTCGTCGAGGGCGACGCCGCCGGGCCCGGGGCGCCGAGCCCGAGCAGCGACAGCATGGCCGGCACGCCCCGGGGTCGCCCCCGCGCCGCTGCCGAGCCGGGAGAGCTCCTCCTGCTGACTGCGGCGGCTGACTGCTGCTGCGGCTGCTGCGGCTGCTGCTGCACGTCTCTCTCTCCTTCTCTCTCTCTCTCTCGCTCTCTCTCTCTCTCGCTCTCTCTCTCTCTCTCCCTCCTCCTCCGCCTCATCCTCCTCCTTTTGACGCTGCGAGTTCCCGCTCATCGCTCCCCCCCACCTCCCCGCTGTCCGCGCATCGCTCCTCCTGCCCCTCCCCCCCCCCGCCACCGCTCCTCGCTCCGCACTCCTCGCGGCCCCTTCTCATGCTCCTCGTTTCCCCCCCCCCCCCCCCCCCGTTTCTCTTTCCGTCCCCCCCCCCTCCCTCCTCCTTCTCCTCCTGGCCGTGGTCGTTGTTTCCTCGGCCTCCACAGCACCACTGCTGTCGTCCAGATCGTGGTCGTGATCGTGGCCCAGACTGCCGCCACCGCCGTCGTGGTGGTGGTCGTCGTCAGCCCCTCGGCCTCATCCCGCCCCCATATCTCCTCAGACTCATCCCTCCCCCAACTCCTCCGTCTCCCCCATCCGCCTCGTCCCTCCCGTCATCATCCAGGTCGCCCTCCTCCACAGCACATCCCCCTCCTCCCTCCTCCATCCCTGCCCCTCCGCCCGCCTTCACCTCCTCTTCCTCCTCCTGATCCCTCATCTCCTCTTCCTCCTCCTTCTCTCCGGTTGGTACTCCTCCTTTTCCTGCTGATCGCGCTTAGCTTGTGTAAGCCTTCTCGTTCAATCCCTCCTCCTCCTTCCTCCTCCTCCTCCCTCCTCTCCTCCTCCTCCTCCTCCTCCTCCTCCCTCCTCCTCCTCCTCCTCCTCCTCCTCCTCCTCCTCCTCATCATCATCATCATCATCATCATCATCATCATCATCATCATCAACATCATCATCATCATCCCCATCCTCCTTGCCCTCCAAAATCGCATGTTCGTCCAATCCTATGCTTGATCATCCTGCTGCTAAAGCCCTTTTCCTCAACAATGCCTTCTATTATCATACGTGTCCTAAGGCTGGCCCCAGCGTGCTGCTTGGGACTTCCTTCCAACACTACGATCCCGAAGCTTAGCATTGATACCAATTGCACGAATGGAGGGCGGGTGCTTTTGAACATGTGGCTCATGCTTTAGCGCAGCCCGCACTCGTTTGCACAGCGGCGAGGAATTATATGGATGGAGGGCCTGCCGTCTTCAAAATAAGACTCTCGCCTTAGCGCCGCGCGCATCCGCCTTAAACAAACATATAACCATTACTCTGACAATAGGGCCCCGCATGAAAGTCGATGTAGCGTACACCTCGCTCTTTCCATTTCGCCCTGCCGGAGGCCCTCCTCCCGTCCTCTGTTGCGCCCCGTCCTTCTCCTCGTCCTCCTCGCCCTCCGTCGCCTCCTCCTTCTCGTCCTGCTCGTGCTAACTCTTCTCCCCCTGCTCTTCCTCCTCCTCCTCGTCCGTTTCCTCCTGCTCCTCTACCTCCTTCCTTCTCTCTGTCCTCATCTCCATCCCGCCAATTCTCCTCATGCACCTCTCCTTCCTTCTGGCCGGGGCACGCATTTCGATGCTCCTCGGCGTCCTCGCCGTCACTGCCTGCAGCGGCGCGTTCGCCGCAGGCGAGACCGCGAAGCCGTTGGGACAACCCCGCGGGCCAGGCCGTTGGGACAACCCCGTGGGCCGTTGGGGCGCGGGGGCAAGCCGTCGGGACAACCCCGCAGGCCTCGAGCTGGGCGCGGCCGCCCTCAGGCTGGAGGCAGCGCGAAGCCGAGCTCTGCCGCGAGCTGCTCCGCCTCAGCCGTGCCCGCCTGAGACTTCCACGGCTGCTCGGATTCGAACATGGCGGTGGGGACCCCATTGGGAAGAGCTCCCCTTCGAGACTTCCTCGTGATTCGCTCACAGGCGAGGCTCCCGCTCTAGACTTTCTCCATATTCAGGCCTCAAAAGCCAAAACATGACGACAATTACAGGTTTGAGGATGGCCGCTTCAGATTTGTAACATGAGGTGCGGGCCGCATAAACAATGGGGAGATTTTCCTTGCAAGTCACTCACAGACGAGGCTTCCGCTTGAAACTTTCTTCATCTTCAGGCCTCAGGAGCCCTAAAGTGACGACAATGACAAGTTTGGGGATGACCCTCTGGGATTAAAACGTTACGTGCGGGCCCCATTGTGAGGGTCGCCTGAGCCTTCCTCGCAATTTTCTCACATACGACGCTCCCGCTTGAGACTCCATCCATAGTAAGGCCTGAGGAGCCCAGACATGACGACAGTTACAACTTTGAGGACAACCAACTGGGATTCAAACCATGAAATGTAGGGCCCATAGGGAAGGGGGCTCCCGCTCGAGGCTTCCTCGCAAGCCACTCACTGACGAGGCTCCCGCGTGAGACTTCCTCCATGTTCAGGCCTGGGGATTCCAAAAGTGACGACAAGTACAAGTTTGAGGATGGCTCTCCGGAGTTAGAAACGCTACGCGCGAACCCAGATCGCGAGGGCTCCCGCCCGAGACTTCTGCGCAATTCACTCACAGACGAGACTCCCGCTTGAGACGCTCTCCATTCTCAGGCCTTTTGGAGCCACAAAGTGATGACAGCTACATGTTTGAGGATGACCCGCTGGGATTGCAAACGTGAGGTGAGGGCTCCTGCTCGAGCCTTCCTCGCGATTCGCTCACAGACGAGATTACCGATCGAGAGGTCCTCAAGATGACTGTGTGAGCGTGTGAGCGTGGGAGTGAATGTGGGTGCGATGATGGTGGTGGTGATGGTGATAATGATAATGATCATGCTGCTGATGATGATGCCGATGATGATGATGGTGATGCTGCTGATGATGATGATGATGGTGGTGGTGGTGGTGAGGGCGATGATGCTGATGCTGATGCTGATGATGATGATGATGATGATGATGATGATGATGAAAATGATGAGCGGTGCACATGGTGGGAGGATGATGGTATGGTGGCCACGATGTTGAGTAATGATGATGATGATGATGATGAAGACGATGATAATGTTGAGAGTGATGATGCTGATGATGAGTGTGCGAGTGTGTGTAAAGGTGAGTGAGTGCATGCGTGAGTGCGTCCGAGATGATGATGGTGATGGTGATGATGGTTGTGGTGATGATGGTGATGATGATTGTGTGGTGGCGAATGAGAAAACAAGTGAATGAGAGAGAGATGATCATGATGATAATGGTAATGCGAATGCTGGTAAAAAGAAAGTGATGATGCTGATGATGATGATGATGATGGTGCCGATGATGCTGCTGATGATGATGCTGATGCTGTTGATGATGCTGATTATGGTGATGATGATGACGATGATGATGATGACGGAAAAGATGATGGTAATGATGATGATGATGATGATGATGATGATGATGATGATGATGATGATGATGATGATGATGATGATGGTGGTGGTGGTGGTGGTGGTGGTGGTGGTAGTGTTGATGATGCTGATGGTAATGATGATGATAACCATGATGGTCATGGGTGGAGGCCGGCACGTCTCCATAATTGGCTCTCGCCTCAAACTCCCCGAAGACGCAAGGCCACGAGTGTGTGCGCCAGCGACGCGGATGCAGGGAGGTTCCTCTTCAGAGCGGGGCTGCCGCTTGGCACTTCCTTGAGCTACAGCCCCCGCCTCGTCGCATTCCTCATACCTCGAAGGATGTAAGGCACTCCTTGTAGCTCGAAGGATGGAAGGCGGCTTCCTTCAAGACCCTTGTCGCATTCCTTGTAGCTCGAAGGATGGAAGGCGGTTTCCTTCAAGGTCTCCTTGTCGCATTCCTTGTAGCTCGAAGGCTGGAAGGCGGCTTCCTTCAAGACAGAGCTCCCGCTGGAGCTGCGGGCCCCCCTAAGGCGCTCACCTCTCCAGGGGGGCTCTTCGCGCACCGAGCAGGGATGCTTGCAGGGCCTCGTGATGAGGGGACTCGGGACGCGAGGGTTCCTTGCAGCATCGTTGATGCATTTGGGGTTCACTCTGGTCCTCCCGATCCAAGCCATTCTCCTCCCCATCCTCATTGTCCTCTGACCTCCACGCGCCCACAACGCACTTCTGCGCGTAGAAAGTCAGCCGCACCGAAGTGACCCAACGAGCCACGTGATCCCGAGTCGAAATATAGCAACGGATGGCAGCACAGGGGCGGGGAACACTGGCAGATTAAGAAGCAGTATACAAACAATAACAGAGAAAGAGGGAGAACGAGAGAGAGAGAGAGAGAGAGAGAGACAGAGAGACAGAACAACAATGAAAGAGGGAGGGAGACAGAGAGACATTGAAAGAGAGACAGAGAGACAGAGAGAGAGAGAGAGAGCGAGAGAGAAAGAGAGCGAGAGAGTGGACGGGAGTGGTGAGGGAGAGGGAGGAAGAGAGCATGTGGGAGACAGAGTGCCGAGAGAGAGAGAGAGAGGATGAAGAGGTGAGGGCGGGAAGAGAACATGAGCAACACAGGCGGTGAGAGAAAACAAATACACTGAGAGGGATAGAGAGAGAGAGAGAAAACAAACAAATAATGATCATGAGAGAAGGGAGAGAGAGAGAGAGAGAGAGAGAAAAAGAGAGAGAGAGAGAGAGCGAGAGAAAGAGAGCAGGGGGGGGAGAAGGAAGTGAGATTGGGGGTAGGAACAACCAATGGCCAACGGAATAAAGGGCATGAACGCAATCGATCGAGCCGGGGGGGGGCGTCTATATCGGCTGTGGCGAGGATGTGAAGAGGGCGAGGATAATGGGGGGTGGGGGGGGAGCGAGGCAAGGACGAGGCGGGGGATGAGGAGAGGTGATGAGGGGGGAATAGGAAAAGGCGAGGGCAAAGATGAGGGGGTGGGGGGGGCAAAAGGACGCCACTCCTGCGGCAAGTCCGAGAAGCCGACCGGCTTGGGCTTCCTCTTGGCCTTGCGCGCCTCGGCGGCCTCGCGCGACACCTCCCGCGGGGCGAAGCAGTCAAACGAGGGAAGGGGGAGTGAAGGGACGAGGGCGACGACGATGACGACGACGATGATGATGATGGTGATGATGATGGTGATGATGTTGATGATGATGATTACAATGATGGTGATGACGATGGGATGGCGATGACGATGACGATGCTGATGCTGATGTTGATGATGAGGATGACGATGATGATGATCATGATGATAATGATGATGATGATGATGGTGGTGATGATGGTGATGATGATGATGATGATGATGATGATGATGATGATGATGATGATGGTGATGATCATCATGATGAGGACGGAGAAGATGATGGTGGTGATGATGATGCTGATGATGATGGTCAATCCCCCTGCAACGCCATCATTAACTGTCGTATATGATGATGATGAAGGTGAAGGTAGTGATAGTGATGAAGTATGATGGTGAGACGGTAGTGATTCAGCAGTAGATGGTGATGATGATGGTGCTGATGGTGCTGATGATGATGCTGATGCTGCTGATGATGATGGTGGTGATGATGGTGATGATGGTGATGGTGGTGATGGTGATGGTGGTGATGATGTTGGTGATGATGGTGATGATGAGGAGGATTGTGATGGTGATGGTGATGGTGATGGTGATGATGATTATGATGATGAGGAGGAGGAGGATGATGATGAGGCTGAGGAGGAGGAGGAGGAGGAGGAGGGGGAAGAGGAGTATGGTGGGATGATGGTGACAGCCGGAGCTTCTGAAACGTCCGCCTCTGTGACTGCTCGATGTGGGGGGTTCCACAACGCTGTTCTGAGGACGAAGGGGCCACCCCCCAGAGACCCCCCCTCCGCTTTTGCTCGCCACTGGTCTCTTTGGGCCTCCAGGCGGCCCCAACACAGCCACAGGACCGCTCCAAGACGGCCGTGAGGAGTGCCACGACCCACCGAAGGCTGCCGAGCTACCTCCCAGAGGCTCCAGGCAGGCCTCCAGCGAGGCCCCGACAGACAACCGACAACGACGCACCAAAAGCACTGCGTGTGTGCCTGCCTTTTGTTCATCGTGTTTTCTGGCCGCAGACAACCTCGAGCAAACTTGGGAGAGCCCAGAGGAGCTCCAAATACCCCGCCAGTCGCACGCATGCCGCTTCGGCCGGGCCTCTTCGAGAGAGCCCAGGAAACCATCGCGCCCACGGTGGCCCCGAGACGACCCGACGGCCCAACGGGCCCCGCAAAGACCCCCCACTGGATCTGGCGAGGGTTCCAGGAATATCACAATATCCCCCCAAAGAAGCAGGACGCCTCAAAGAATGAAGACGCCCTGGAGGGGGGAAAAAGAGAGCAGTTCATATGGCATGTCCTTTACGCCAGCAAGAGGGATGAGGCAGAAGCAAATGGGTACAGGCGAATGTCTCAACGAAGAGAAGGCAGCTGACCCTATTCAATCAGCCCGCCGGCGCACTTTTCTACGTCTGCCGGCCCGGCGAGCGCGCGGGCTGGTCGAGCAGCTCAGGGGCGCTGAGCAACGAAGTGGTGCCGTCGAGACGAGAACTGGCGGCGCGCACAGAGGGGGCAGGGGGAGGGGGGCAAAGCTTCTCAGAAGGAGGCCGCCCCCTCGCAGGCGCTGGCCCTACGTCCACAGACGAGGCCCGCGCCTCCTGAGAAGCGGAGGTGCTTCCGGGCAGCCTTTCCTTCCCCCCTCCCCCTACCTAGAGGCCTCCCAGATGGGGTCGGAGCAGATGGGGTCGGTCGATCGCGCCACATCGCGATGCATCGGCGATACATCGCCGATGCATGGGCAATGCATCGGCGACGCCAGCGTGGAGAAAATTGGGCTCCACATCGAGCCGCATCGCCAGTGCATCAGCGATGTGGCGCGGTCCTCCGACCCCATCTACTCGGACCACATCCAGGAGGCCTGCGCGTCAGGTATTCATTTCTACTCGTGTTCATTTCTAAGTGTGCTCGTTTCTAATCCCACCAGCCCTTTGGGCGTGAGTGGTTTAGAGAGCCCGCTCTGTTCTCAACCCCCCTTCTTCCCCTTCGGGGAGGGGTTTACCCCTCCCCCTACCTCCTCCCCCTGGGCCTGGAGAGGGGGGGCCGCGGGTCGTCAGGGGGGTCAATTTCGACTCCTGGGAGGGCTAAAAAACGACACCCCTCACGAGGATTCTGGCCCCGACGGGGGAGGGAGAAAAAACCCTCTCATCTTCTTTGAAGCGAAAATCATTGATTTTACTACGGTTTCGGCCCCATTTTGGCCTTCTGAGGGGGCAGCGCTCCTCTTCCTTCATAGCAAAATCATTGATTTTACGAAGGTTTTGGCCTCATTTCGTCCTTCTCAGGGGGCAGCGCTAATTTGCACTTCTGAGGAGGTCGCAAGAGGCCCCAAGATGGCCCCAAGAGGCCCCCAGGAGGCTCCCAAGAGGCCTCCAAGAGGCCCCCAAGAGGCCCCCAAGAGGCCCCAAGAGGCCCCCAAGAGGCCCCCAAGAGGCCCCCAAGAGGCCCCCAAGAGGCCCCAAGAGGCCCCCAAGAGGCCCCCAAGAGGCCCAAGAGGCCCCCAAGAGGAGAGGCCCGAACGACTCACACCAGGACGAGGGGCCCGAACGACTCACACCACGAAGAGCCCGAACGACTCACACCACAAGGAGGGGCCCGAACGACTCACACCAGGACGAGGCGCCCGAACGACTCACACCACGAGGAGCCCGAACGACTCACACCACGACGCGGGCCCCGAACGACTCACACCACGAGGAGCCCGAACGAGTCACACCAGGAGGAGGGGCCCGAACGACTCACACCAGGACGAGGGGCCCGAACAACTCACACCACGAGAAGCCCGAACGACTCACACCAGGACGAAGAGCCCGAACGACTCACACCACGAAGAGCCCGAACGACTCACACCAGGAAGAAGGGCCCGAACGACTCACACCAGGACGAGAAACCCCAAACGACTCAAACCACGAGGAGCGCTTTCTCTCCCTCCTCCTCCGCCTCGTCCTTCTCCCGCTCCCCCCACAAGGAGGATGTACAAGGAGGCGGGAGGAAGGAGGAACAGGGGAGACATGCGGGGGCAAGCGGACACACGCCTGAAAAACACGACTGTCGGCATGCTTCGCAAGAGTTGCTGTTGTGAGATGGGCTGGTGGGGATACGCGAAGCGTAAAGAATTGTTCCTGGCCCCCTAGTGGCCAGGAAGAGGCCCAGGATAGAATAATTAGAAATGCAAGGATCTTGGCCCCCCCAAAATGAAAGAACTTTCGAAGAATTAGAAATCAACCATGTGTAGACTACCCCCCTCTGCGCGTGGCCGACTCTTCCCCCCGGGGCAGTGGCTTGCCGCCCGCTCGCGGGCCGCAGCTCCGAGAGAGCGCGCGGCGGCGGGACTTCCACGCAGCGGCCTGGCGGCGGCGGCCTGCTCGAGGTCCGCACGAGGGGGTGCTTCTGAGAAGGCTTCCCCCTGCGGCGGGAGCTAGGACTGGAAAGAACATACCCCAAGAACATGAGGCCCCGATGGCGGCCTCCGGCGCGGCCCAGCCCGCAAACGTTGCAGCCGCAGGGCCAGGCCGAAACACGCTCGAGGAGAGCCCTCCCCCAGGATGCACAAGAGCATCCCACAAGCGCGAAGCACATCAGGGCATAACCTCGTTAAAGGCTTGACGCCTTCTGCCGTCCTTCGACTCGCGCTGGAGCGGCCGCGAACTGCTCCAACTTTCCCTGGAGATCTCTGGATTTGTCTGGATGTATCCGGATGTATCTCGCTTCACCTGTCTCTACCTGGACGTACCTCGACTTATCTGCACCTGCCTGGATTTGTCTGGCTCGATCCCCACAGGTCCACTGGCGAAAAGCCGACAAGCCCTTGGGGATAAGCCTCCCCGAACCGGCCCAAATCCTGCGCCTCGGTCCGGCCGTGCCTAAAACGGGGCTAAGATCGGGATAAATCGCTCCAGAGCGTTCCGGAGCGCTCTCAGAGCGTTCCGGAACGCTCTGGAGCGGCCGCGGCGCCCAATACGCCCTCCAAACCCGCCGATTCTCAGAGACCTCGAGTCACCCCGATCCGATTTTGCCCCGATCTTCGCGTCGTTTTAGTACCCCCCCCCCCTGTTGGACGCCCGAGTTATCCGGGGTAACTCGGGTCCGGGGTAACTCGGGTGTGGGTTCCCGAAAAAGGAACCCGAGTTAGCCCTGACCCGAGTTACCCCTGATGATTCTGGGGCTCTGGACGCCCGAAATATCCGGGGTAACTCGGGTCCGGGGTAACTCGGGTTCGGAATCCCGAAAAAGGAACCCCCCTGATGATGATTCTGGGGCTCTGGACGCCCGAAATATCCGGGGTAACTCGGGTCCGGGGTAACTCGGGTTCGGAATCCCGAAAAAGGAACCCGAGTTAGCCCTGACCCGAGTTACCCCTGATGATTCGGGGCTCTGACCCTGCGCGTGGCGGAGGCTCGGGGCCGCCGAGGCGAGGCGGCAGGAGAGAAAGGAAGAGAAAAAAAAGCAGGGCAGCGCGGCGGCGGGGCCGCGCACTGCGCCCAGCGCCTCGACCCTCGGGCCACGTCGCCCGAGGGTCGAGGGAGACGCTCGAAAGAGGAGGAGGAGGAGGAGGAGGAGGAGGAGCAGGAGGAGGAGGAGCAGGAGGAGGGGGAGGAGGAGGAGGAGGAGGAGGAGGGGGAGGAGGAGGAGGAGGAGCAGGAGGAGGAGCAGGAGGAGGAGGAGCAGGAGCAGGAGCAGGAGGAGCAGAGAGGAGGAGGGGGCCGGCGCGAACGCAGCCTGCCGGCGTGCCACGCGCAGCGACGCGCGGCGCTCGACCGGGGGAGCGGTGCGCCCCCGCGCCGAGAGAGAGAGAGAGACGATGGAGCCGATCGAGGGTGACGATGGGGGCGGATTGCCCAGGGGAGAGCAATAGAGGAGGAAAACGAGGAGGAGGAAGACGAGGAGGAGGAGGAGGAGGAGGAGGAGGAGGATCAGTGCAAACCCAGGACTCGTCAACGATATTGCAACAAACCCTGCCTCCAAGTTCCGATTCATCCCACAGGTTCCTACACGGATGCACTTACACTGAATTGAAAGGCCCGTTGGAAGACAACCGTTTGAACATCTGGAAGTGTGCCAGGACACCATCTCTGGGGCGTCAACGCCGCGAATCACCGTTCCTGCTGCGTCTTGACGATCTTGATACTTGACAGGAAACCGCTCCTGGGACTTCAACACCGCGAATCAACGTGACTGTTGCGCCCTGACGTTCCGACATCGTGCCAAAACATCCTTTCTGGGAAGTACCCATGAGAATATTTGAAACTCTCTTTCAAACTCTTACGACGAATGTGTGCGGCAGTAAGGCGAGAGAACAGATTTTGAAAAGGAACCACCCTCCATCTGTGAAGCTCTTGCAAACGTTCAAAACAAATTCGCGCGGCGCTACAGCGAGAACCACATGTTGAAAAGGAATCGCCCTCCATCCGTGAAGCTCGGACACATGTTTCAAACGATTGCGCGCGGCACTGAGATGAGAACCACATGTTGAAAGCGGACCGCCCTCCATCCGTGAAACTCTTTGCAAAGTTCAAACATCAAAATCATACATAAATCTCAAACGAACCGCCCAGCTTGCCCTTTCGACCGGCCTCGGGGTGCGACAGGGAGCATCCGTAAGGAAAAATAATGGAGGATGAGGAGGAAGAGGAGGAGGAGGGGGATGAGGAGGAGGGGAGGAGGAGGAGGAAGAGTAAGAGGAGGAAGAAGACGAAGAAGAAGCAGAAGACGAGGGTGTCGTGATCTCACAGATGCGGGCCCCGCGCCCCCTGGGGCGAATAGCCCCGCCCCGATGGTCCATGCCTTCGGCGAGGCTCCCAGGCGAATGCGTGCAGTGCCCGCCCCATTGGCTATTCCGCCCCGTCGTCGCCTCCTACCTGGAGGAGCGACGGAGATGACGTAGCGATCTTGCGCGGTGGATTACGGGGACCGCCAGCGCGGCACGCCACATTGGAGACGATGACGCTTACGCGCGACCTTACGCAGGAAGCTTACGCGCCAGTGTCGGTGAAGACGACCCCGTTTGTCTGCGTCGCCAAAACGCGTCTGGGATGCCCTGCAGAAGGAGGAGGACAACGGGGCTGCCGACACCGAAGGGGCGTTCACATTTCGGGCAGGATGCTGAACTGGAGTGGGTCTCAAGCTCTGCCACATCCAAACGCGTTCCTTTCCGGTGCGGCCGGTTCCGACCGTCAGAAGTACTATTCTCGCTGGTCGACGCCGAACCATTCATTCATCACAAACACGAGCCCATTTCCTCAACAAACGGACGGTAACTCATTTACCGCAATCGCGTTCCCGTTTCGGCGCCGAAGCCGTTATACGTATAGTTTCTACCGAACAACTCCCGGCAACGGCAGGGATGGAGGCGTGCTCCGTATGACAAGCGGGGCTTTGGCACATAACCCGGAGAAGCAATTAAGGAACCCCCCGGCGTTATCATTAGCACCGCGCCCTAATTAAATAATTATTTGGGGGGTTTTCGCCGAGCGATATTATTAGCACCGCGCAAATGGAAGGAAAATAAATAATTCCAGCGCCCCGCCTCGGGTGGCATCCCAATTAGAATTGTAATGATAATAAGAATACGAATACGAATAAGGAAAAGCTGAGAAAAGCTAAGGAAAAGCTTAGAAAAGCTAAGGAAAAGCTTAGAAAAGCTGAGGCGATCTGGTGTACCCCCTCCTGGTGCCAGGATAACGCTTCCGGGTGCCGGGTGCGTTATCCTTTCACCGGAGAGGGGGGGGGGGGTCCTTAATCGCTTACTCGGGTTATCGTCGCCAAGACCTCGTGTGACAACTGTAGCTCCTGCAACTCTTATGAACAAGACATTGCAGGTCGAATTTCGTGCGCGCCACGTGCTGCGGCAGGCCCATGAGGATATCACCCTTCCAGCCACCCCAGGCCCCAGACCCGCGGAAAGGCCATCAGACATCGGGTAACCAGCGCTCCAGCCCTCTGGGGCTCCGAGGCTCCCTCTCCTGCCGCCCACGACACGACCAGTAACAATCCCAAGCCTGCGCCGTAATCAGACAAACGCCTGCTCTGCCAGCTCGCGCTGAAAGCTCCCAGCGGCCACGCCACCCCCTCAGACTGGCCAGCGGCCAGAGCGGCACGAGGCCTCGAGCACGCGCGCGCAGAGGGCGCGGAAGAAGAACGGACGGACGGACGGACGCCGGGAACGTCCCGCAGAAGGGAGCTCGGCGGGGGCGCCTGAGAGCCAAGCACTCGGCACCTGTAGAAAATGATTGTGCCCGTGTTCCTGCCCTCGACCCAGACCCCCTACGATAGCATTTTTCACAACGCCGACCCCCAGGGGTCTCGACCCCTTCCCCAGGACGGGCTTCTCGTGTTCGGAATCGTCTCTTGACAAACCCGGGACCCGGCGAAGACCTCCGGCCACCGAAAACAGCGAAACACATCCCGTCGTCATCTTTCTACCCAGACCCCCGACGTAATGATTTTTTCATTACGTCGACCCCCAGAGGTCCCGACCCTTTCCCCATGACCGGCTTTGCATCCTGAGTCGTTTTTTGACGCTCCCGAGGCCCGGCGAGGGCCGCCGGAGGCCGAAAATTAGGAAAAACCTCCCGTCATGATTTTTTCATTACTCGAGGGGGTCTGGGTACGACGCGAAGATGTCGGGCTTTCGGGTCATGACTCGGGTCTCCGGCGGCCGGTCGGGACGAGGAGGGATCCGGGCACCCCCGGACGCCCCAGGCAGGGCGCAGCTGCTGGAGAGCACCCCAGAGACGGCAAACCTCTCCAACAAAATCCCAACCCTTTCCCCGGGGCCGGCTTGCCCTCGCGAGTCGTCTTTTCACGGTCCCAGGGCCTGGCGTAGGCCCCAGGCCGACCACGGCCAAACACTTTCCATCGTGATTGCTTCACGACGCGAGCACGTACCCATCTTCCTGCCTTCGAGAGGGGGGGGGGGACCCCCCGACGGGAGCGGTGGGCCAACGGCCCTGGGCGTGGCAGGCGCCTGCTGCTCCACGAAGCTGGCGATTGCCTCCGTGGCCTGCAGCAGCCGCAGCTTGAGCTCGTCCAGGCCTCCGGCGGGGCGGCGGCGCCGCCACGGTGAGTGGGCATCGCTTGACCGATCCCCATCCCCACCGGCGTGGGCGGGGCCCCACTGGCCGATTCACCCCCTGGATGGAGACACAGGCTGCTCCCCTCGGGTTTCGAAGGGCCTATCCCCCACTGAGGTGGTGAGGCGGTGGGGCTCGAGATGTGGATGGGGATGGGGATAGGGATCGGTTGAACGATACTTGACTGCCTGCCAGATCACCACCCCAACCCAACCCGAAGACCGGAATTCGACCCGAATTTCGGGTTGGGGGGCGTACGGGTCCCATGAATGTGTTTTTGCAGTGTTCCCCGACCCCCCCCCAATGGAAATGGGGGGCACACTGACTGGCCATCGCTCGGACGTCCATTCCCTGTGTTTTTTCGGTTTCGTGCGTGGTTTTTTCGCCGAATGATCAAGGATGCTCCTCGATGGTCCTCGCCGAAGGTAAAATGCACACGTCCGAGCGATGCCAAGCTGAAGCAGCCTTCGGGTTGGGTTGGGGTGGTTTGGGTGGGTGGTAAATACCGAAAGAGGAGCCCTGGGAGACGGCCACGACCATCATTCTTTCTGCTCGGGAGAGCGCTGGCGGTCGCGCCTTCGAGTTGGGTTGGGGTGGTTTGGGTGGGTGGTAAATACCGAAAGAGGAGCCCTGGGAGACGGCCACGACCACCATTCTTTCTGCTCGGGAGAGCGCTGGCGGTCGCAAGCGCGCCTGGGCAGAGCCGGCGGGTCGCGCCTGGCCCTGGGCGCACCAGAGCGGGTGGACGAGCAGAGGCGGTCGCGGACGCCGAAGGGGAGGAGGAGGAAGAGGAGGAGGAGGAAGAGGGGGAGGAGGAGGAGGAGGAGGAGGAGGAGGAGGAGGAGGAGGAGGAGGAGGAGGAGGAGGAGGAGGAGGAGGAGGAGGAGGAGAGGAGGAGGAGGACGAAGAGGAGGAGGAGGACGACGAAGAGAAGGAGGAGAAGGAGGAGGAGGAGACCCGGCCGTCGAAATGACGGAGGACGGGCGCGCGCTGGCGGCCTCCGGCGCCCGAAGCCGGTGTTGAGCTGAAGTGGTGCGCGAATTACCTGCCGTTGGAGGAGGGCCGTCCGCACCCACGTGTGAGCGGCGAGGAACGAGGGCCTGATGGCCACTGCCGCGGAGGATGCTGCCCAACCAGCAGCTGCCGAGCAGACGCGGCGCGAACCGCATTCCAGCCCGACCCCGGCGGCCAGGACTCGTGACGAGCCGAAACGCTCCGATGCGCAGCGCGCAACCCGTAGCGTGCTGACACGGAGCTCAACCCAGATATCTTCGCGTCGTAAGAAAAAAAGCAAGGCGTCAGGATTTTGGCGGTTCCCATCTGTTCTAAAGAATTTTCCAGGCTCGGGGTGCTCTCCAACAGCTGCGCCTCGCCGAGAGGCGTCTGGAAGTGCTCAGATCGCCCCGAACGGCCGCCAAAGACCCGTCATGCTGCCATCCTCGCGCCGTCGAAAAATCACGGCGGGAAGCTTTTCGCTACTTTCGGTCTCCAGGGGGCCGCGCCGGGCTCCCGGATGGTCAAAAACGAACCCTCGTGACCAACCAATCACTGGAGCTTCCAGGGACCCGCCCCCCCATCGGGAACATTCTTATTCAGGGGATCCAGACCCCCCCACGCCCAGGAAACGTGTTACTCGGGGCGTCCAAGTCCCACCCTCTAGCAAGGACGACGGCGGCGACGACCGACGCCTATGCCAACGAGGACGCCGATGACGGCGACAACGTCAACGGCGGCGCACGTGTCGCCGGCGCCCGCGCCAGGCGCCGGCTAGGGCTCGATCCAGCTCTCTCAGAATCAGACAAGGGCCCTACTGCACCCTACCCTACTCTACTCTACCCAACTCTACTCTACTCTACTCTAGTCTCCGTCTGCTCTGCTCTACCCTACCCCACTCTACCCTACTCTACTCTACCCTGCTGTACCCTAACATGTGATACTCTTTTCTACTCTGCTCCTACTCTACGCTACTCAACTTGAACCATTTGGAGCACAAGGAACATCTGATATACAGGCTATGTGGTTGTTATGTGGTTGCTCTACACTACCGTGCCCCACCCTACTCTAAAATACTCTCTACCCTACTCTACCCTGCTCCACTCCCATTACAAGTGGCACGTGTGTGCCCAGGCTCATACCAAAAACTGAAGGGGCGTTTGAAGCAGGAGTGAAATGCAACAGCGAAGTTGCACTCGAGCGCAAGTGGGGTTGCCACACCTTGCGGTGTATGTACCAGGGCGCCCCAGGAAGCCTGCAGAGGCCCGACTTGGATACCAGAAGAGGCTCCAGGAGGCCCCAGGATTGTGAGTGTTGTGTGTGTGTGGGTGTGTGTGATGTGTGCTCTGTGTTGTGGGTGCTTTTTGTGCGTTGCAGGTGTTGTGTGTGTGTGTGTGTGTGTTATGTTTGTCTAGCGTGTGATGTGTTGGGCGTGATTTGTGTCTCTGTGTGCATGTAGTTCTGAGGCCCCAGGAGGCCCCAGGCGGCCTCAGGAGGCCCCAGGAGACCCCTGGAGGCTTCAGGAGGCCCCAAGAGGCTCCAGGAGGCCGCAGGAGGCCCCAGGAGGCCCCAGGAGGTTTCAGGAGACCCCCAGGAGGCTCCGAGGCGGGGTCTGGGGTACCAGAAGGTTCAGAAAGCCCCAGGAGGCCCCAGGAGGTTCCAGGAGGCCCCCAGGAGGCTCCGAGGCGGGGTGTGGGGTACCAGAGGGTACGTCGGGGCTCGATTTTGGGAGGGTGTTTCAGGCAAAACCGCCATCCTCTGAGAATCGGGGTCAACATTATTGAAACTACCATGTGTTTTTGAAGGTTTTGTGTTAAAATGTTGAAGTTCCAATGTGTTTTTGGACCCTGACGTCACGATCTGCGTGAGGGGTGCCACCGAATTCCAGAATTTCGAGGATGTCCCTAGCGAAACGGCCAGAAACATCCCGGAAGCGGCGCCCCGCGTACGCATTAATCGCCTCTGAGCTCTACTCCATCGGAGAGGTGCGTATGAGAATACTCTACTCTACGCCTACTCTGCCATGCTCGTCGTCCTGAGGAGGGGGAGGAGGAGGGGAGGGAGAAGGAGGAGGAGGAGGAGGGGAGGGGAGGAGGAGGAGGAGGAGGAGGAGGAGGAGGAGGAGGAGGAGGAGGAGGGGAGGAAGGAGGAGGAGGAGGAGGAGGAGGAGGAGGAGGAGGAGGGAGGAGGAGGGGGAGGAGGAGGGAGGAGGAGGAGGAGGGAGGAGGGAGGAGGAGGAGGAGGAGGAGGAGGGGAAGGAGAAGGACGAAGAGGAGGAGGAGGAGGAGGAGGAGGAGGAGGAGGAGGAGGAGGAGGAGGAGGAGGAGGAGGATAGGGGGAGGAGGAGGGGAGGGAGAAGGAGGAGGAGGGGGAGGGGGAGGAGGGAGGAGGAGGAGGAGGGGGAGGAGGAGGGGAGGAGGGGGAGGAGGAGGAGGAGGAGGAGGAGGAGGAGGAGGAGGGAGGAGGAGGAGGGGAAGGAGAACGACGAAGAGGAGGAGGAGGGGGAGGAGGAGGAGGACGAGGAGGAGGAGGAGGAGGAGGAGGAGGCGGCGGATCTGCACATTTCCAGGTCGACTGGGCATCAGAAGCGGTGGCCCATGGCTCCGGAGGACATCGTGCCGTGGCCGGTGGCATAGAGGGCGGAGACCCCCGCCCGCAAACGACCGTTTGGGGACTCCCAGATCGAAGCACACGATCAAGACGCCTGCACTCGAGGAGGACGAGGAGGAGGAACAGGAGGAGGAACAGGAAGTAGATGAACAACCAACTGCATAAGCACAGCGCTGGCGGCAAGCGTCGCAGCAAACGCCAGAAGAGCGACACCCAATTACACGTAGTTTCCTAGAATTCCACCGAAGTGCCGTCGTAAGTTCCAGTCTGATGCTAAAGTTGCGCTTTGCACAATGCTGCAATTCATCTGGATGGGACTGCAACCTGCAACCATTCCTCCCCTCGAGAAGCCCAAGGGGAATTCTGAACAAAACGAGCTTTCTGTACAGAATTTGTTCCCAGGTCTCTGGCGTTCCGCAGAGGCGAGACCTCGACCCTCGATCCTCGTCACCACATCCGTTCTCGGTATGCGATCACCGCAACAACCTCGATCATCGAGGCTCCACAAAACGTCGACCTTCGATGCTCGTGAACACCTTAGTTCTCGATCCTCGGAAATCGCCGAAAAACTCGAGGCTCGAACCCCGATCCACGATTCTCCTCGAAACATCGCAGTTTTATCTTCGCTAAGGCCTCGGCTCCCTACCTGCGACATTTACAAACAAAGATCGATACTCGAATTCTGATCCTCGATCCTCCTGAGACA